CCCCAAAACCCCAAAACCCCAAAACCCCAAAACCCCTAAGTATATAAAGTAATTGAGCAGATTATAAATTAATTATTGACACAAATAATTATGAACATTAGGAGAAATATAGCTAAGGATCTAAGGTTAATTAGACTCCCAAATCAAAGTTTTGGGATATTTTCCGGCTTTTCTGGGAACAGGAATAAACCAAGGAAGATATACAATTCAGAAAGAGAAAGAATCGATGATGATATTAAAACTCATGAACAATTGAAGGAAGAACAATATTATGGTGATAGAAGAGAGCTTCAAAATGATTTCCATTATGGTATCCAGGTGCTGAAGGAATATGAAAAGGAAGCTCTGATGAAAAACCCTCATCTGAAGAATAAACTTCAGACTTATATTGACTCTTACAAGAAAGAAGACCAAGCTGTAGTAAAAGATTTTATAAAGAAGGGATATCTAGAAGAAGTAACCCCAATGAGTTTTAAGGAACAGAAAGAAATCATCCAAATTCTTGCACAAGAGAAGGGTGAAGAGAGTGATTACGACTCTGATGTTGATGTTGAAGAGGAGGTGAGATTTAACAGAAGACTATTCAATTACATTAAAATACAAGACCAAGTAGAACTCCCTCAAATGAGACCTGAAGATGAGGGAAGGAAGACTCTTTTCATTGAGATTGATGATCTCCTCATCCATACTTTTATACCGGATGAAAATATAGGTTATGTAGCTAATTCTGCATCAAAAGATCCTGATAGAACTTTATTCTTAGAAGATGCTAGGCTGAACATCTTATACTATGAAAGAGATAATCTATATGAATTCCTTGAGTACATAGACAAGAATTTTGAGCCGATTCTGTTCACTTCATCTCAGAAGCTATATGCTGACTATATTGTAAAGCAATTTGACCCAGAAGATAGCCTCTTCCGTCATAAGCTTTACCAAAATTCATGCTACATGTTGGAAAAATAAGGATGAAGATATTTTTGAATTCATTAAGGACATCAATCAATTCATTGATGCTGAGAGCCCTAACTTTGCTTCTGTCTCTCCTGTCAAGAGAAGTGCTAAGAATAGCTTGTTGCTAGACACTAAACCCTTGAGTTACATCTTGAATCCAAGCAATGTGATTCCTTGAGAGGAATTCACAGCCGATTATATGTACTCAGATAAGAAGTTGAAGGACATGTTCCTGAATATGCTGATGGAAGACCTCGAAGAGTTCAAGGAGGCTGATGATGTTAGGAAGCTAAGCAGAAAGAAGTTCAGAATTATAGACAATCTTTATAGCAGTAAACTTGTATAAATCAAGATTCAACACTATCAATTCAAGCTGGGGTTTTGGGGTTTTGGGGTTTTGGGGTTTTGGGGTTTTGGGGCTTTGGGGTTTTGGGGTTTTTGGGTTTTGGGGTTT